ACACACACACACACACACACACACACACACACACACACACACACACACACACACACACACACACACCCCGCGCGCCCTACATCGTCAACCTACCACGGATGGCGGCAGCGATCTCCATAAGCGCGTGGCACATCATCCTCTGCGTCTCATCGGATGCCTCGTAGTGCGCTTTCTGGACTGCGACTTCCTGCTCGAGTATGTCGCATTGCCTTGTGAATATGCTGCACTGCCGCTTGCTAGACGATTCGATCATCGACGACATCAGTTCGCCATGGCGTTCCATGACATCAGCAATCGACTCCGACGCCTGTTGACGCGCATTCTTCCGCTTCCCACCTCCAGCCCCGCTGGCTGCTTTGTTGTCGGAGTCCCTCGTAGAAGAACGTTCTTCAGGGAAGCCTTCACCAGCGGCCTCACTACCAACAGACTCCCCAACACCCGCCCCTCGCCTGGGTAGCTGCACCCCGTCCGGACTTCTGGTGTCGGCGACGTTGGGAGGGAAAATTGTATGGTTGCCCAGCATGCCTGCGTGGATCTCGTTGTACAGCACCCTCTCTATCTGGCACTTGAAGTTGTGCTCCTTCCTTTCTTCATTCGATAACCCGAAGAAATCTGGCCGGCCACTCGCATTCTGAAACCTCTGTATCTTCTTGTAGTTTTGGAAGAGATTGTCCCACTTCTTCATGCAGTCGTCCTCGTCTTAAGGCCTCCCCGTGTTCGCCATGCGCTTCGCAATGTCATCCCACTTCCACTCCTTGGTCCGCATCCGCTCGTAATTGTGACCCAGACCGGCGAGGTGCATCCCTTGCTCCCGCTTGCATCTCACCTATTGCATTTGCTCTTCAGGAGACCAGTACGTCGGAGACTTCCCACCGTCGTCGTTGACGCCACCTCTGCCACCACGGCCAACGGATCGACCACGTACAGCACCTCTGCTGCGTCCTCTCCCCCTCCCACCCGTCTTCCCCAAAGGCCGAATAGGAATGTCGTCGCCTGCTTCCACGTCCTCCCTGAATCGTTTGTCGGCATCGTCACCGCCACCACCATCGTCATCGCCGCCATCGCTGTGTGCCCCCATGTTTGACACTCCTCGTGTGATGTTCTCCACAGTGGGTGTTGGACGCACCGCTGGTCTGCACGCGTCGTCGTCCCTCAGGTCGGGTTGGGTCGGCGTTGTGCGGTTGGACATCTAAGAACGTGCACCGCCGATGCGCATGGAACCGGCTGCGACTCGATTGCGTGCGGGGCAGGTACTTGTCAATCGATCGGTGGACGGTGCAGTCGATCCATGCTGCCGGGCTACTGCCAATGGCCCGACACCGCCAGTAACGGGCACACCGCCACGAAGTGTGGAGTGCTCTGTATGCTGACTTCCACCATGTTGACCGCCACGTGGCGAAGGATCGACGTCGATGATGAACGGACGGCTCGCCTCCCTAGCGCCGCCAGGACACAACCCGAACCTGAGATCAAGTCCTCTGTCGTCGTCGTCTCCCAAGCCTTCGTGCAGCAATGAGGTGAACTCGCCGCCTTCGTTGCTAGCCGACCCGCTTGCTCACACCGTCCGCGACAACAGCTGCGCCGACCCGCTGGCAAGTGGCAACGTTGGAAGTTCTTCCGTCTCCGGCTCCTCGTCCGACGGGGGCAGTGGCGTCTCCCACGACTCTAGATGGTTGTACAAAGATGGGTCGTAACGCCGTGGAGGCTCCGCAGCCGGAGGTCGTCTTCCGCCCTGACCTGCGCCAACACCTGCGCGTGCCTGCATGCCCGCCATCGGACGTTCCCCTGCCGCCCGTTTCGTTGAAGCCCTCCTCTTGCGATGTTGTTTCCACGGCCGCCACGACAAACACACGTGGAGGAAGACGACGATGAGGAACACGACGATAGCAAGTACGAGCAGAGGCAATCTCCTCTGCACGTCAGCCATCAAATTCACGTCGGGAGCCACCCTCGCACGCGACTACTGCAGAAGAGTGTTCCGACATGCCGGGGGATAGGGCCGCTCGACCTTCATATGCCGACAACCAGCAGAGAAGACGACAAAGTTGCCTGCCTGCGATCCGAAAATCGACCGTTGCCGCCCGCGCACCGCCCGAAACGCCTCTGTACGGCATCCCGCGCACGTCGTTGTCCTCCTCCGGCACCCGCAACCGAGCCAACGGTCCACTACGGACGCCAGCCTGCCCACGGTCGCCCCCCCCACGCTGCACCCCGTCGGCCAACGGCTACCGCTGGTGGCGGTTGCCGGCCTCGACCCGCAGAAAACCTCCGATGTCCGACCACCCACCCGACAGACCGCTCCTGGACCAGCAAACTTGTGGTGACGGTGCCATGCGTGCGACGCAATGAGTCCGTGAAACGCGGGAATCGTAAATTTTTCAGTAGGTCGGGGGCTACTGGAAAATTTAGGACGATTTTGCCTGGGGAATCCTAAATCCTTTAGGACTCGTCCTAATGCCGTTTTCACATTTTGGATCTCGAAATTGGATTTAGGATTGCGTGCAACGAAGACGCAGTCCTAACGCAATCCTAAATCCAGGCACTTTTAGGAGTGTCTAACGAGACCCTTAGTTGGGGGTAACTACGGCGCCGTAAAGTTTCCAGTTCTAAATCACTTCCGGAATCCCTCGAATACGACACATCCCCACCCAGCCCTATTCTTCTGCAATTTTTATGTGATCCATTTCATTGATCATGTTTCCTTTCATTCTTAGGGTCGGACCCCACAGGAATGCGGAAAGGAAAAAGTTTGCCACGGAAGTGTTTCTGGGACCCCAGTCACCCCACACCTCGCGGAGAAGATTATGGAAAGGCCAAAATGTCTTCCAAAAACCGTATTCCGAGTCCTTCGGGACCCCACAGCCCGCATTTCATGGCCTGGAAGATCGCCTGTGGACGTTTTCACATTGTTCGCGGTCTGGAAAACGGCGAACGGAGGAAGTCACGCCGCAAATTTGTGCCGAAAGTCGAGGTTGGCCTCCTCAGCCGTCTTGAACTTTTCCAAAACCAGGTCCCGTGGACGGACCACGGATTGTTCGTCCATGCACTGTCTGACGTCGGTGGAACATGTGACCCTGGAGCGAATTGTTGCACGGCCATTTCCTGAGGTCCACCCATGGCCTCCCGGACAACAACCACTTTCTTTTTCGGACTTCACCCACCAAACTTTCCTGCAAAACGCACTCCACGGTGAGGTCCCGGAAAAAAACACTTTTCCAACTTTCCAAAGGACCAAAACAACTTGCCCGCTTTTCGTGGCCACACATATTTTCCATCCCCACCGCAGTGGGGTCCGACCCTTGTCCATGCATCATAGGACTGTCGAAGTCTGGAGGAGGGAATGCGAGGCTCAAGGGCTCGGTCAGCCCTACTGGGCTCTGTTTCTGCCAGAACGGCCGCACTAAGGGCTCTGTTTCAGCCCTAC